GACGAGGCTTTTGAAAGGCAACGAGGCCATCAAATCCGCCTTCATCGTGAGTGCAAATGTATCGGTCAACAATTGCAAGCAATAATTTTGGAATTCGTGCAGCTTGAATTGCAGATGATGGGTCATGAGGGGGAACACTACCCTGAAATTGTCACATTCTCTCTCAACCTTCTTCATGAATATCGACAGTCAATCGACAAATCCAACCTCGACACCGCCATCACTGTTGCGAATGAAGCCCTTGCGTCGCATCATGGCGTGATCAATCATCGAGCCCAGCTGTCGCTTCGTGCTGGAAACGCATTGGTGTTGAGGTACTTGTCCTGTGGCGACGAGAAAGACTTTTCGTTGGCTAGGGCGTTATTTCACGACGCCAAGGAAGCGTGCGGAACAGGGGATCCCATGCTCTTTATTGCCCTTGTTGACCTGCGGCACGTTGGGTTTGTCAACTTCCTGGAAAGTGGGATGCTACAAGGGATGAGTGGGCTTCAAGAAATGGCACAGTATGGTCAAGCGGCTCAGGCCGAAGATCAAAAAGGGCAAGAAGCGTACATTCTGGGATCAGAGTTGATGCAAGGAGACAAACTCGCGATCGATGAAGCCATCCTGCAATTTCGTCGCTCGCTTTCCCTCCGGCCTCCACAGCACCCAAGGCGACACGACACTCTTGCGCATTGTGCCCTTGCGTTGGGCAACCGATTTGGCTGCACTGGTCAGATCAAAGATCTGGAGGAGAGTATCAGTCTTCATAAAGAGGCACTATCTCTCCGTCCTCATGGCCATCCCGACCGTGCCGTCTCGCTCAACAACCTGGCGAATGCCCTCTCCACTCGCTTCGACAACAAAGGCAACTTCCTCGACCTGGACGAGTGCATTGCCCTCCACAGGGAAGCTCTCGATCTCCGCCCTCATGGCCATCCTCACCGTGCCGGCTCGCTCAACAACCTGGCGAATGCCCTCTCCACTCGCTTCGACAACAAAGGCGACTTCCGCGACCTGGACGAGTGCATTGCCCTCCACAGGGAAGCGCTCGATCTCCACCCTCATGGCCATCCCGACCGTGCCAGCTCGCTCAACAACCTGGCAGTCGCCCTTTCCACTCGCTTCGGGAACAAAGGCGACTTCCGGGACCTGGACGAGTGCATTGCCCTCCACAGGGAAGCGCTCGATCTCCACCCTCATGGCCATCCCGACCGTGCCAGCTCGCTCAACAACCTGGCGGGCGCCCTCTCCACTCGCTTCGACAACAAAGGCGACTTCCGCGACCTGGACGAGTGCATTGCCCTCCACAGGGAAGCGCTCGATCTCCACCCTCATGGCCATCCCGACCGTGCCAGCTCGCTCAACAACCTGGCGAGTCGCCCTCTCCACTCGCTTCGACAACAAAGGCGACTTCCGGGACCTGGATGAGTGCATTGCCCTCCACAGGGAAGCTCTCGATCTCCACCCGCATGGCCATCCCCACCGTGCCGGCTCGCTCAACAACCTGGCGAATGCCCTCTCCACTTGCTTCGACAGCAAAGGCGACTTCCGCGACCTGGACAAGTGCATTGCCCTCCACAGGGAAGCTCTCGATCTCCGCCCTCATGGCCATCCCGACCGTGCCAGCTCGCTCAACAACCTGGCAGTCGCCCTCTCCACTCGCTTCGGGAACAAAGGCGACTTCCGCGACCTGGACGAGTGCATTGCCCTCCACAGGGAAGCTCTCGATCTCCGCCCTCATGGCCATCCTCACCGTGCCGGCTCGCTCAACAACCTGGCGAATGCCCTCTCCACTCGCTTCGACAACAAAGGCGACTTCCGCGACCTGGACGAGTGCATTGCCCTCCACAGGGAAGCTCTCGATCTCCGCCCTCATGGCCATCCCGACCGCGCCAGCTCGCTCAACAACCTGGCGGGCGCCCTCTCCACTCGCTTCGACAACAAAGGCGACTTCCGGGACCTGGACGAGTGCATTGCCCTCCACAGGGAAGCGTTATCTCTCTTTTCTCGAGGCAATCCCCACCGTGCCGGCTCGCTCAACAACCTGGCGGTCGCCCTCTCCACTCGCTTCAGGAACAAAGGCGACTTCCGGGACCTGGACGAGTGCATTGCCCTCCACAGGGAAGCGTTATCTCTCTTTTCTCGAGGCAATCCCCACCGTGCCGGCTCGCTCAACAACCTGGCAGTCGCCCTCTCCACTCGCTTCAGGAACAAAGGCGACTTCCGGGACCTGGACGAGTGCATTGCCCTCCACAGGGAAGTGCTCGATCTCCACCCTCATGGCCATCCCGATCGCGCCAGCTCGCTCAACAACCTGGCCAACGCACTCTTCGCCCGCTTCGGGAAGACACACGACTTCCCGGACCTCGAGGAGTGCATTCGGCATCGACGGGAACACTTGGAAATTTCTTTCCTATCTCCCGAAGACCAACAGAGTGACAACTGTGCCTTGGGAAATCACACTGAAGGCCTGAAAGCAATCGTGAGCCTTGTGCAGTCTCTCAGGGAAAATTACAAGCACCTTGGCGACAACGATACGCTGCAAGAGATTTTCGCACTTTTAGAAACTGGAGTTCGATGCCACGGTGCATCCCCCTTGGTCAGACTAGACCATGCCAGGCTTTGGGCGTCCATTTGTCGTGAATTCCATCGTCCCCGCACCGCACTAGACGCTTATCGTCATGGCATATCTTCACTTCCCGTCCTAGCCTCCCTCGACCTCACGCTCGAACAACGCCAGAATGTTCTCGTCTACGCCAAGGATTTATCAAAGGATGCGGTTCAGTGTGCGATCGAGCAAAATGAACTCGATACAGCGCTTGTATTTCTCTCCACCGCTCGGTCTGTATTTTGGTCCCAAGCCCTCCAATTCCGTGGTTCACTCGATCGCCTCAACGCTGTTCATCCCGACCTTGCATCGGAACTCCGAACGGTTACTCGCCAGCTGCAGTTCGCGACCGAACAACAACCACAAACTCGCACAATACCGTCTGGAAGTACCCAGCCACTCCGTCCGTACCTTCTTTCCCAACAAAGGGAAGAAATCATCGCAAAGATCCGAGACATGGAAGGTTTCCATGATTTCCTGCTTCCCCCGTCGCCCGATATCCTCAAGACCGCAGCAAGCAAAGGAACGATTGTCTTTCTGAATGCCAGTAATTTCGGTTGCCATGCTCTCATTCTCAAGGAGGACGGGACCCTTCACCGCCTTGCCTTGTTCGCAGATATTGTCCTATTGACTTGCCTGGTAGCTGCCATTCGCCAGTTGGCCAGGGGACGAGAAATCGGTCTTCAGGTGCGACGTGAAATGCGTGATTATTTGGTGGGGAGAGACCTTCGTTTGAAAGCATTCTTCAAAAGGGAGGATCCTCACTTGACCGTCGACGACGATTTTAAGGTTGTTCTTCGTGTTCTGTGGGATAGGGTAGGCCAACCAGTTGTCCAGGCTCTCCGGCTGGAGAAGGTGTGGGAATTCCGTGAATAGAGCGAGCGACGTCGTGCTGATCTTGTTAACAGACGAACACCCCTCGTAGAATCTGGTGGTGTCCAACCGGCCCTTTCACGTTCCTTCCCATCCATGCTGCCGGGAATTATACTCCCTCTCCTTTAGAATCCGAGTGCTTATCCGACTATATCGTATCGTCTTATTGCTCGACTCCCCAGGACCTCATCACCCCACAACCAGTGCCTAATCCCGATTTCAAGATGCTTGTCGTTATTGAACCCGACCGACCCGAACCCGGTGTATCAAGCCTCCCATCGACCAGGCAAGAACTAGAGAAGATCAAATTACACATCCCCGAAAATGACCGTCTGATTACCCGCGCTGGGCCAAAGTCGAGCTCTGGAAAGTCTATTTTGGACGACATCAACACTGCATCCATCGTCCATTTTGGCTGCCATGGGATGCAAGACCCATCGAATCCACTTGACAGCTACCTGCTACTCAGTGACAGGCGCTTAACGATGTCGTCGCTCATTCGGGATTGTCAGACCTCGACGGCAGCCCTTGCCTACCTCAGTGCTTGCGAGACAGCCATGGGTGATGACCAACGACCGGATGAGTCTCTCACTCTGGCTGCCACGATGCAGTTTGCGGGTTTCCGCAGCGTGGTTGCGACGATGTGGTGAGTTGTAATGTTCTTCTACTACCCGACTATTTCCATTGACATTTGTTGTGAACCAGGTCAATCCACGACCACGATGCGCCCATCGTAGCGGATGCCTTTTATCGTCATCTCTTCCGGCACGGTACTGCGGCCCCGCCAGACGTCACCGACGCAGCATATGGACTGCACCTTGCTGTGAAGGAACTGCGGGAGCAGGGAACGTCTTTCCATCGTTGGGTTCCTTTTGTTCATCATGGAGTTTGAATATCGTCACTAGCCTATCTCTGCACATGTAACTTTGGACTTTAGGACTGCTATGATATGTATAGTTTCGCGTTCACCGCAGGTCGACGGAATGGATGATGTGCATTGTCATGGGAAATGTAAGTCGTAACCTGCGTGCAAGGGTCCTCCCTGCCTCAACACAGTAACCCAAACTAATCCCCGCCAATACCTGCACCCAGTCGCTGGTTGAAGTATCCTTGAAGCTCTACGCGTTCTAGATTCCGGGCGATAGTGTCGGGACGCAGTTCTCATTGGGTATGATCGGTCAGTAAAGTGGTGCTGGAGGCCAGTGCCCGAGATGTGCAGCGGGCTGTTCGAGAATGGCTTGCATGCACCACGCTAGAGCATTGGTCTTGCGGTTGACGGCAAGTATGGAGGAAGTTGAAGCGGAGGGCATAGGCCTCCTATCATCACTGTGAGTTTGGTGAATTGGGGTAGCCGCCGAAGGCCCTACCATTCCAGACCTGTCAGGGTAGTCTAGGACGGTATACCGTATGACGGGTATCCGGGTGAAGGTGGCTGGCTGTATGGTATGCGTCCAGGTTGGGGGTTTCGGTGTCTTTATCTTCCTTGGGTTGGTTGTATAGGCAGAGGTAGTAAGCCTGTTGGAGGCAGAGCGAAGAGGTACCTGAATCTGGAGGGATGAATTGAGAAAGGCGGGCCAGGGAAGGCAATGTTGACGACGTGGACTGAGCCGGTGGGGTTCGTAGATAAGGGACTGAATTTTTTATTGGCTGCAGGGTTTTGTTTCCTTTCACAGTTGTCCTCAAGTAGTGTTAGTAAAGGAGCAGGAAATACGCGAGTGGCATGTACCGTGAATCCATCCAAAGTAGGTGCGAGAGAAGTGACCTAAGTCGGCAGAAGAGGAAAGAGGAGTCTGTTCAGCCTTCAGTGCCTCTTGAGCGACGGCCACTACTATCGTTAAGGACAACAGGTATTTGACGAATGAGAAGGAGGATGTTGGGAGGGTGGGATTTTCTGTAGTCTTGAGAATGACGAAGAAATGTAGAGGTAGCGGGATTCGGCAGCTGCTGAGGTTTCTGAAGTTTAACATGTTCTTTCGTCCTAGTAGATTTGCCTGATCAATTTAGTCTCAAGCTCAAATAGAAGGGGAAAGTCGCGTACCAATTGGGCATTTGGATGCAATGCCCGCTTCCAGAGCTACTGAACCCCTGCGATTTTGCATTCGGGTGAATGCGAGCGAAGTGAAGAGCATTCGTAGCTGGCTGATTGGATAGTTGATCTCTGTAGGCCCATGTTAGGCCATTTGACGACCTGGATGCCTGATGGGTCCTGTTTGAAAGCGACTGTCGAAGGCGAATATCGCAGCCTGTCGCTCGCAGCTACATGGATTTTTGGAAGGCTAGCATTGGGCTAGCAAGGGGTTGTCAGACCACAGTCTGAATGGACTACATCAGACTTTGAACGATTGGTGATGAGATTACACGAGCTTCCATAAAAGATGTCAATGAGTAAAAAAAAGGGGTAAAAAAGCTGGAAAGAATCAACGCACCACAAGTAGTCAATGCGCTGGAAGTATGGTGGTCACTCAGTCCAGATGGAGAGCGACCAGTGATGCCAGGTGATGCCACGGTCCTGCATTTGCCGTCGGCCCGGAGTCGACTAACGACCACACCCATACAGTCGCGGACAGTCAAACCCAACAAATATAGTAAATCGCAGATTTCTCAGGAAATCATGGGTGGTTTGGTCTGATTTCTTGCCAGGAGACGTGGATTTGCGAAAGCGTTCGAAAAACGCATCTCCGAAGTTTTCCCACGCCGTTTTCCCGGTGGCCAAATTTCAGGGGTGCGGGAGCGAGATCTATTGACCTGTAAACTAGGAGAAAAGCGCCTCGAGGTGCATGAGCACACCGAGATCTGGTTTGCAAAATCATCCTGCTTGCTGAGTAGGCGCGCCATGCAGCAGTTCGTGTTCTAGAAGGGACAGAGCCTTCTAAAACTCAACCATAGCCAAATCCAATGGCACTCGGTAATCTAAAGGTTGGTCAGGGTTCCGCGGATACCCAAACTTAATCACCATTTTCCCAGAGAAATCATGGGTCAATTGGGCTCAAATTTTGTGAACAGACAGTGATTTTTGAAAGCTATCGATTGAACATAGTTTGAGGTTACTGGGATAAAAAATGACCGGGCGGCCAAACTTTTGGCGCCCAAGATATCAAGTTACCTTTTCTGGCCAATCCGATGGACCAATTGGTACCATTTTTTGACTGGGGTTTCGGCTCAGGCAAACATGTCGTTTCCGACGGTTTTCGGAGACTATCAAATGCTTCGTAAAAATTGGTTGGGTTTGATTGTCCGCGACT